CCTTTCTCCCAGCTGAAGGATATCGAAAGGCAGAAGCCTCACCCCGATCGATTATGGCATGAAAACCAGTACATCAAATCAATGTTTCACTTACTGCCATGACCTGTTGGTGAAAAGAGGTCGTAGTCTATCCCCTCTCCTTGTTCACTTTCTCTGTACCTCCACTTTCTCCTGTGACCCCAGACAACGTTATCCAAGTGCTGGAGAAAACTTCGCCCATGGATGTGGAATGAGGTGGGGGGAGCCAGCCCCCCAACACTAATCGTGGGTTTAATTCGCACAATTGTACAGTTGAGATATATAAATATTATATTAAAGTCTTTGAGAGCATGAGAGATAGAAGAGAGTCAAAAAAAGCTTGAAGGTAAACAAGCGGCCGTCTAGCTCAGAAGCAACAAAATCCACATGAAAGAAGCACACCAGCCTGTGTAATCACGAGGTGTTGAAGGGATGAGGTATCAGGCATCAAAGAACAAAAAATTATATCTTTGTGAATGAAGGGGAGTGCAGAGTGGGGACTCAAAGTAGCAATGATGAAACATACAACTTTCCTCTAGTTCCTAAATGCTCGTCCCCCCCTACTATCATGATCCCATTTCTACCTTACAAGTCTGGCTAGACCAGAGGACGTACACTGGTACAGATAGGAACTGGAAACACAGGGAATCCAAGATGGATGATCCCTTCAGGACCAGTGGTGAGAGTGGCAATACTGGGAAGGTGGAAGGAGGATGAGGTAGAAAGGGGGAACTGATTACAGAGATCTACATATAACCTCCTCCCTGGGGGACAGACAACAGAAAAGTGGGTGAAGGAAGATGTCGGGCAGTGTAAGATATGACAAAATAATAATTTATAATTTATCAAGGGTTCATAAGGGAGAGGGGAGCAGGGAGGTAGGGGGAAAAATGAGGAGCTGATGCCAGGGGAGAGAAAATGTTCTGAGAATGATGAGGGTAACAAATGTACAAGTGTGGTTTATACAATTGATGTATGTATGGATTGTGATGAGTTGTATGAGCCCCCAATAAAATGATTTTCAAAAAATAAATAAATAAAAATAAATAGGCACAGGAAAAAAGAGAAGAAATAGGAATGGTACAGTGTATGTAGGTTTCCATCCCTAGTACATTAACAGTCCATGCCAATGGTGCTAATATGGTAGGCTGAATGACTGGTGTTAGTGTTTATCAAATAAAACATATTCAGTAAAAAAATTTTTTAAAGGAGTTTTTCAAAGATGAATATAGCATGTTCAGAGAAGAAAAGTCCCCTGTTTCTAATATATCAAACAATGGCTATATCTATTGACCTACCTCTAAAGGAATGAGATACTAGTCCTACAGTGAAAAGACGGTTAAGGATAAATCACACAGCTGATGGTGCTCAGATAAAAGTGAAGAATATTGCTGTTGAGGGCACCAATCAAGAAGCAATAGGTAATATCTTAAATAACAGTTTTATTGTCTTTTTCAGGTACTATTTAATATTTTTCCTTAATGTTTTAAAACTCAAAACAATCTAGTTTTCTGTACTTCTTCTATTGTTCTTCTTTACTAACTGTATGACATAATAAACTGCCTTTCAGTATATCTGTTTTTTATACTTAAAGCAGTCATTAAGGCAGCGAACCAGTTGTACAATTCTTTGAATCCCACGCCTGGCTGCCTTATTTGTAAACTGAGTGCGATACCTGCATTGTGGTGGCAGGTCTGAAACACCAATCACCAGAGTAGCAGATTCTAGCAAATGTTTGTTCATGCACTCATCAGCCACATTAAAATATTTGAAGGGAGGAGTGCAAGATAAAATAAACAGGTAAACTTGATTTCATTAAATGGAACATTTCTTTGTTGTTCTTTCTACCTTTAGGGGAAAAAAGGGAAGATGTAGGGTGATTTCCCATTTCTTCCCCATGGTCTTAGGGAATGGAGCGGGTGACAACCCTATCCTAAACGGCCTAATGGGTATAAAGCGTGGGACTTCACCCTTAGTTAAAAGTTCTCATGGGAGCTGTATGAACTATAAATGAACTTTGGTATTTGGCAAAATAATTTGGCTTCTTGGATTTGCTAAGATATGTTAGAACAAACTATTTTGCTTAACCTTGACTTACAAGGACGTGGCTGCACAATCCAGGAGTCTTTGTTGATGGACTTGGCTGTTATCGCAGAAGGAGCCAAGAAATGGGGTATAAAAGAAAACACAGCTTTTAATAAAGTGCCATTGCATACATTCATGCTTCAGAATGTTTCTTTGGTCCTCCTGAACCCTACTTTTTCTATATTCTCTTTTTTCTCAAGACCACTCACCCGACTTCAGCTTTCTGTTAGGAACACTCCGGAGCCGGTCTTCGGCAGGAAGATATTTTCATTAAACAGAATTTAAGTTTTTAAAATTCTGATAACCTTTAAAACATAGCAAACACATACTTGTCTGTCTGTGTATATTTGGGCATGTGTGTTTGTATGAGTTGTATGTGTGTCTATGCTGTGCGTGCCTATAGCTGTGGGTGTCTGGGTGTTGGTGTGTGATTCACTAGTTACCACTCTTCAGGATTCTTGCTTTGCCTTATAAAGGAAAGACAGCTTGTGATTTTAATTCTAAGGAAAATACACCAGGTGAATTGGCATGAGTCCTGTAAGGCAATACAGCTAAGGAACTTTTGCCATGCATTCATTACTAACCAGTCATTTTGGCTTTTGCTCTGCACGAGGAGATTAGGAATAGGCCACGAGAAAAGATCAAGTTGAGTGTTTGAATTTTTCTCAAAAAGGAGCTTTGCTCCGGCCAAATACTGTGCTGATCAAAAATGCCATATTGTGGGAAACAAAACTGGGAAGCGAGTGTATGTGGGTAAATTCTCTATGCCTGTAAGCTAAGGAGTCTGGGAGACCAGGACTCCTGTGGAGAGAGACTTCACATTCATAGATGCATTCTAGCTGAATTCTCCTAAGTAAAAGTAATTCCCTACTTTGTCTCCCATAATAATGCCAATTTTCAGGTGCTACTGGTAAGCCAATGTTTGCTTACTGTTCTCTTGAAAGTCAACTGCTTGAAGGCTAACTGCCTAAAGGTTCCCTGCCATAGAAAGCAGTCAGACCTTCTAACCTTAAGGACGGCCCATTCCCTTCTGATACAGATCATAGATTCTTCCCCTGGAGAAGAGTTCAGGGACACCTAAAGTCAAGCCAGCTCAGAGAAGACCACGGTTAGGCTGCCATCTTAACTCTAGAACCCACCTATCTTGCCTTCCTGTCCCACGTATGCCTCTAGTTAAACAGTGGTTCTCAACCTGTGGGTTGCGACCCCTTTGGGGGTAGAACGACCCTTTCACAGGGACTGGCCGATTCATAACAGTAGCACAATGACAGTGATGAAAATGATTTTAGGGTTGTGGGGATCACCACAACATGAGGAACTGGATTAAAGGGTCGTGGCATTAGGAAGGTTGAGAACCACTGCTCTAGCACTTCCCCTTCCTATTGCACATATACCCCTAGCTCGGCCTCTTCTTGTTACCTGTATGCCTTTAACACAAAACCTCTTCCTGTTACATAGATGCTTACTTCAGCTTGCATGCCCGAGTTTATATAAATTTATGAGGCAATACATTATACCTGGTTCATACATACATTCTGGTTCTGGTCTCCATCAGAATAGGTGAGCCATGGCATGCTTTGTCTTGTCTGTTGTCTATTTCATTTACCCCTCAATTACATAACTGGCCCCTTGCGCCCATTTGGTTGTGGAGGCTGGTCCCCACACCATAAATCTTAGCTGTCAACACGGATGACCGGGATAATTGATATGATAGCATCTGCTTTCACTTTCTGATCCTTGTCATTTGAACTTGGATTACACTTACTGGCAAGAGCCCAGAGTTTTATTTTAGGCAATACAGTAAATAGTTCTAAAAATGCTAGCTCATTTCTCCCAGTTGAGTCCAGTGTAAAGACTCTTCCAGCACCAGCGTTCAGAGACAACAGTCATAGGTCTCTATAACCCTGAGAAGCTGTGGAAGCCACCTTTGAGAACCCTTGATTCTTACATTCCTCGAGTGCTGAATACAGAATGGGGGGGTTCTTGACAACTAAAGGCCTTCCTTCCAATCCGGTGGTAGATGACACCATTCCAGGTTTGCATTCTCCCCAGAATGGAAGAAAAAGTCTCAGGAGGTTAAATCAAGTCAAGCCAGGAAGGGCCTTTTGCCCTCTCCACATCCTAGTGGGCCTTGGGTCAACACATATTTCACTCCTGAGAGCTTACTGAGTGCCCTGTGCATTATGCCCACTCTGTAACAGCCGCGGTTCCTGGGTGATGCTCACGGCCAAGCGCTGAGCTATCATCACCATAAGGTTGACCGTTCGGTCGGCTTCCAACAGGTTCAAACCAAACTCACCGCCATCGAGTCAACGCTGACGCATAGCCACCCGCTGTGGGTTCCCCAGACTGTAACTGGCTACCTGAGTAGAAAGTCCAGTCCCAAAGGTTCCAGTCCTGAAAACCCCGTAGGGCAGTTCGACTCCCGCACACAAGGGGGCGCCAGGAGTCGCCGCCGCCTCGACCACTCTTGCCACTGAGACTCTAATGTGGAAATGGCTTTGGCTATGCTTCTGCCCACATGCCTCACTGTGCCCGCCCCGTCGGGGCTTCGAAGGGGATGAAGAGCACTAACCGGGGTCTCCCCCGACGCATCCTACCTCTGAGTGGGCCCTTGCAGCGCCCCGGCCCCGTCACTGTCCTGCTCACCACCCCCACGGGCCTGTCGTCTGGGGATTGCCGGGGATTGCCCCGTGCCGCTGGCCGAGCAGAGTCCCAGGAAGCGGGCGGCGGCGGCGGGCAGTCAGCGCAGGCCTTCTGGGCAGGAGAGACTCCAGCTCTCGGGTGCCCCCTGCCGGCCGGCCCCGGAGCCTCGGTGCGCCCGCCCTTGCTCCTGGGCATCTCCTCCCGCCGAGGAAGGACCAGCCGGTGTGGGCCCGCCGCTTCCGGCGTCCGAGCCCCACGCGCGGCCCGCAGGGAATGGCGTGGCAGACCCTCCTGCCAGGGTGCACGGCCCCGAGACAGAGACCCGGTAAGAGACGACGGGGGTGGGGGAGGAGGCTGCCCGGCAGAGGGCCTGGGGCGACCGAGGGGGCTCCGGAGGCCAGGGCTGGAGCAGGGTCACCAGCAGGCAGGTCAATGTGTTCTTCCTCAGGTGCCGGGCGCAAGGCAGCGGGGGACCCCCAGCACTGCGCCCAAGTGCCGTCAACAATTCTCCGCGCCCTTATAGGTGGCCTAGCACTGTCCCCGTAGGGTCCCCAAAGACTGCTGTCAATCTTTACAGAGCAAACGGCCACATCTTTCTTTCTCAGCACACAGGTGGGTCCCCACCACCCTCAGGGACCCAGTCCTGCCAGGCGTTCTAGAAGGCTCCACAGGGAGGAGTGGCGACCCATGTGCTTTTCCCTGAAAACAGTAGCAGGGTGTTGAGGGTTTTGATCCAGGGACTGACTCTGTTTAACCTTCCTGTTAGAAAGATCCCCAGGGGCCAGGTAGAGGACAAATGTGATTCCAGCCATGGCAGTAGGTTGGGAGGAGTTCGATAAAGTCCAGTGGTCAACACACGGGGCTGTGGGAGTGGAGATTACCGAAGGACCTCCCATCAGCAAAGTGGTGGGTAGGTGGGACCTGAGCACCAGGTGGGATCCCAGGTGTGCCTGCTGAACTTGTGGGGATTGCAGAAACACTTTGTCCTTCTTCCATTCACCACATAGATGAGGGGTACCCCCCAAAAACCAATACTCATTTATATTTTTTAATGTGAAGGGTATAGTGCATTTGGAGTTCGTTCCACCGGTCACACTGTTAATCAGGCGTTCTATTTACACGTTCTGAAAAGATTGCATAACAGTGTGTGACCAAAAAAAGTCTGATTTATGGCAGATGGTGGCCTGGTTTGCCACCATCTCAGTTCACCAGTTTTTGGCAAAAAAAACAGACCTCTCTTGCCCCACACACCTGACTCACCTGACCTTGCTCTGTGACTTCTTTTTGTTTCCATGAATGAAGAGGGACATGAAAGGACAGCAATTTTAGGATGTGGAAAAGGTGAAGGGAAAACTGAGGAAGGTGCTGTCAGCCATCCAAACAGATGACTTTGAAAAATGTTTCTAAGAGTGGAATCGTAGATGTGACAAATGTGTTCAGTGTAATGGAGAGTACTTTGATGGTGATAAGGTTGTTTTGTTAAAAGAAATTAAATACACATAGCTATTTTTAAAAATTCCTTTTTTTTTGGTACCCCCTTGTATATATGTTCAGTTCTCCAACAAGTCTAAGAAGCATATTCAAACCAGTGAAGTTCCAGGCTTGAACCCAACTTGTCTTGAGACGTCCAGGAACCAAAACCCTAGGTTGAATAAGAAGGAAGTGATAGCTGAAGTAGGCATTGTGAAATGTAAACAATTAACTGCTCAAGTACAATCCAAAAGTTAGCAATTCCAGTCCACCCAGAGTCACCTTGGGAGAAAGCCCCAAAGATCTCCTTCCGAAACTCAGCCCCATGGAACACAGTTCGACTCTGACATGCAAGAGGCTGAGGTTGAGTTGAGGTTTGCACATTGAGTGAGATGTTTGCTTTGGTTTTTATATTTTAAGTACATTAAATGAAGATAGGAAAGATGCTGTTGGTGTGGGGCCCCTGTAGGAGGTCCAGGCATTATGAAATACAAACATACAAGACTGAAAATAGAGAACCAGAGATGTCAGTTTGGAATGAAGACAATTAAAAAAAAAAAGCCCTAGTGTAGTTACAACTTCCAAATGGAGAGGAAGACAAATACATTTCAATAACTTGGATGAAGGGGAGGACAACATATAATTAAGGGATATTTGCAAATATATATACCTATATACTCGAGTGTAAGCCGGCCCGAATATAAGCTGAGGCACCTAATTTTACCACAAAAACTGCATTAAAAATGTATTGATAGAGCTCTAAATACAGGCATGTACATATGTAAATATATTTTATATGATGGTGAAATAGATCTATGTGTATATATTTATAGGCTTAGTATTAAGGTAGCAGATGGACATTGGACCTCCACTCAAGTACTCCCTCAATGCAAGAATACTTTTCTATTAAACTGGCATTCCATGATGCTCATCTTCCCAACACAACCGCTGAAGACAAAGCAGGTGGGTGCATAAGCAAATGTGGTGAAGAAAGCTGATGGTGCCCAAGTATCAAAAGATATAGCATCTGGGATCTTAAAGGCTTGAAGGTAAACAAGTGGCCATCTAGTTGAGAAGCAACAAATCCTACATGGAAGAAGCACACCAGCCTGTGTGATCACGAGGTGTTGAAGGGAT